TTGAGTCTTCGGTTTGACCAAAGTTTTATAAAAGGTTTTATGATTGTATATACTTTAAACACATTGGCAATTGCACGTCATTTAGTTAAGAATATATACCACATACGAGTAAATACATATCCATATTCTACTACAGTGGCTTCAAAACAAAAAAAAAAAAAAAAAAAAAAAAAAAAAAAAAAAAAAAAAAAAAAAAAAAAAAAAAAAAAAAAAAAAAAAAAAAAAAAAGAAAAACTTAGTAAGCCAACAAAAATTTTTCGGTTTGAGACTTCGGAATAACTAAAGTTTGAGAAAATGTTGTATGGTTGTTGGTATACTTGAAACACATAAGCAATTTCAAATTTATTTTAGAATATATACCATATACGATAAGTGCAAATTCGGGTTTAAAACACGAAATAATCCTTTTTTTGATTAAGCAAGCTCAGCCTCGCTGGATTCCTCGGACGTTGTAGCCGTACCACCGCTGACTTTGATCTCTGCTGTGGGCGTTACATTTGGCGCCGAACTTAAAATCGAATAAATTAAATCTCTAATCTTCGCCGTGCTGGAACGCTGAGCACTTGCCGCTTTATTCGCAGCGCTAGATGTTGATGGCGTCTTAAAGGTGACATGTGCGTTTCTGAGCCGTGCGCCTAACTTATCACGCCAATTACTTTTCGGCGGACTCGGCTCGTTTGCGGGTTCATTTACGAGTTCATTGTCCGGCGCAGCCTCACTAACTGCCGTTGTGCTGCTGGTAGGCGTTGCAGCGTCTTCGGAAGGTGGAGATCTGTTGAGTATGGTTTAAAATAACATTAAAATTTGTTGAAAATTTTAAGTCCAAACTTACCTACTGCCAGTACCGCTTTGCGTTGAATAGGGATATCTGTCGTAGAGGTATGCGAGCAGCATGCAAATGATCAGTATCGGAAAGAGTAGTATGAGTATGCTGAAAGCGCCAATCCAGAAACCGTGCTGTAACAGCAGTTAAGTTTATTATTTCAGCTAAATTGCGATAAGTTCATACTCTACCAAACAACTCTCGATACATTCGTACAGCTGTCGCGGTATACCGACACTTGATAGCTTGAAGTCTCTGCAAGTCGGCATAAAGGCGACATGACTCGTATATAACATCATTTCCAAATCGAAATCCATTAGAAGTTGCCTCATTTCAATATCCAGCAATTCCTTGAACTCCAACTCGAAGTAATCATGTAATATACGCATCTCGCTGAGACTTTTACGCAGAAGAGTGCTCAAATTTACAGTCGGCATTTGTGCGACAAGGCGTTCCCCATGCTTGGATAGTGCATCCACATTGCCAACTATATGCTTCGCAATCAACGTTTCGAAGACGTGCGTTTTCATGAGATGCAAGTTGCATGCCAGCATTCGCTCGTAATATGTAATTTCATTGTCCACGGTTGCCTCAGCCACAATGGGTATGTGCGTGCTTAGCTGCTCCCAAGCCGCATACCAATTTTCCATATTCATCTCTTGCTTCACAACATTGAACATGTCGCCCGAATTAAAGACAGTTCCGCTGAAATCTGCATACTGCAGCATTTGTAGAATATTTGAAATGCCCGCGACGCTGGGTAAGGCCGTACGTAGTGTCTCGAAAATGTGCTGATTTTGTAGTTGCATAGCATTGTAGGTCTCTGCATCGGGGCCAAAAGCGCTCTCAGCGAGTAGACTGAGTATTTTATTTTGAGAGTCACAATAAGATTTAGAGCTCAAACCGCAAGGATTGTCGAGTGTGGTGCTTTTAGGAGAAATCAAGCACATAAATACTTTCAACTTTTGCTTTACTAGCGAGTTACTTACGTGTCTTGCCTGAAATTGAAAAACGATGTACCCAGAAAGAAGCTCAGGCTTGCTATTAGACAGAGTATTATGGACGTAAAACAGATGAAAATAACGATGCTGCAAAGAAATGAGTAAGAGAGTTATATACACTTTTTATTTAAACCGTGTTGGTGTTGGGAAAGTATGGCACTGATTTTGTAGACTTCTTTTCTTGAAGAATAATAATTTGTCGAAATGTCAGCCTAGGATTGCTCGGTACTAATTGTGAGCAATCGTTACTCACCTCACTAGAATATATTTTCTCTTCTTGAAGCGCATGAAGACCGCATGATACATAGCATAACACAGTTGCATCCAGCACAGCACAGAGATCTGTCAGATTATTAGAAAATTGTTATAATTCCCATATGCATACTGCAGAAATTGAATTCGGAGAGCTTTCACCACAGCTTTCACCACGTCTGTTATACTCACCATTATAGCGATGATTAGAAAAAACAATTGGTATGAATATATATCATTTGGTAAATGTATTACAACATCTCGTGGTACTTCCGAACGAAGTTTCTTCACCGCTTTGATAATTTCCAAATAATTGGCATTCATTTCATTCACTGAAATGTACTCCTAAAATATGAAAACTTGTTCGTGTTCGAAGTAGTTAACTCACCTTTTTCCGCCCACATATTCGTGAAAACCGATCTGTAATAACTATGCAAGTCTTTTAGGCTTTTTGCGAAAGCTTGCGATAAGTTTGGCAGCTCTATTGACATTTCAACAATGTCTTCTATGTTGGATAATACGCGCTCGATACTGAGTAGCTGAGAAGCGAGAAAACAAAAGGCGCAGTAAGAAAAAGAGAGAGGGAGAGAGATAAAGTAGCCGTTGCGTTGAATGAAATCTTTATGGAGACCCGTACTCTCCTGAAACTTGAGACTGTTTAAGGCAGATGTTTATATTTACCGTAACAATTTTGTGCTGATTCCCATTGAGCTCATTGCGAACAAGATTTATATAAGTTGGGTCTGAGATATCGTTCAAAAGCAAAAACGTTGTAGTATTCCGGTGTAGAAATTTCGTGACTGCAAGCATTTATAGTAGTACAAAAATATTTCAGCTTTATGCCTCGAACTTACGGTCTGTTAACTGCATAATATCTGCTAGCAGGGTCTGCATGTCCTTGCGCATGTCCTTTATGATAGGCTGAATAGCTAAGCTTTCCGAGTAGATGTCCATGAGCATGCTACCAGCGGGGTTCTTTACTATTTCCGGCGCTGAGGAGTTGAGGTTGGATATCATTTCTGAAATTAATGTTTGCACTAAAATTTCAGAATGCGGATTGTATTGCTTGGAGCTACTTACCATCAGCCAACTTCTTCATAAACTCTTGCACGACTTCGATATTGTCCGTAGATATATGATCGATAACATCTAAAGTCTGATCGTAGAGCATTTTCACCATATTCACATTACTCTCTGGTTCACGATAACTTCTTGTCGGATGGTTTTGATAAGAGGTATACGTAAACCATATAAAGAAGCTAACCTCAAGCCAAGAGTTTATGAAATAACTTCAGTATACTAAAGAACAAAGAACAATCACCTGTAAAGTATTTTCAGTAAAAATAGCAAAGTTGACAGTATGTAGCGCCATGAAGGCACTGGTGCTCTTTCAAAGCGTCGTTTTCTCTTTGGCCGAAATTGAAATACGCACCAGATTAGACATAAAATTGGCAGTAGCGCTGTATAAATGAATATTCCAATCAACCAAGGAAACTCTGCAACGTAATCACGCCAATCGTTGTTCAGTAGTTTATAACCCAAGCCTGTGCAGTTCATGTATTCTGTAAAAGGATACGTTTTAGAAAGCAAAGTTCTAAACTGAATCACTACTTGAATACATGCCTTCTGTGAGACTTCTTGGCAGGCTTAATGCTTCTTTAGTAGTAAAAGCCTGTATGGTGGCTTGTATCGAGAAGGGCAGTCCACAGATGTCCACGCTGGTGTAGGGCACAGCTGGCAATGCTTTGAATTCGGATAATTTCATTATTGGCGACTGGATATTTACACACAATTTGGAAACTTCGATAATAAAATGGTTCTTAGAATTTGTTCTTTCAAAAAATAGTTATGATTTTAAGTTTACGTAACGTTTCTTTCAAAAAACCACAAAATTTTCAAAACACAAGCAATTTTTTAGGGAAATGAAAGTTCATCGTAGAAAATATTTGAAATATTTGACGGTTCGATATGTAAGGAATATATAAATGTCATGCCCGACAATAAGGAATACTGTGGTTATCGTAAATATTGGAACACTAAATTTCCATTTTCCTTCCGGAGATCTTCCTTTGAATCTGTTTAAGACTTAAAGATTGGGGATTGAAGGGCAATACGGAACTATACAGTTCCGAAATAAGTTTGTCAGTAAGGATTGGTATTATATGTGTTATTTTGAAAAATTATAGCATGAAGTTGTCCTTGGAGCTTTCAAATCCTTACTGAGATATTTGTGTATATGTAAATTTAAGGAATGGGAGATCCTTTCACTAATTTGATGTCGGCTAGTTCAGAACACTGTCGGATGGCGACACACGCCCGCAGAACCGATCGAAAAGCATGCGGGGCTCCAGGACAACAATGGAGCATCTCTTGTGCACTTATCCCGCAGTGGCAAGACTACGCTGTACTTATCTAGTGTCCCCACGGTATGATAAACTGGAGGAGCTCTTCCGAAAGTGAGGCCGCAGAGTCTGTTAAAATTCTCGCCAAGCGCAGTCATCCTATAGGATTGGAAAGGATATTCTCTTGGACCTATCAACTGAACTTCATCTGGTATCGCAAAGGACCAAAACTGGTATAAGCGTGGCTTATTCGTCTACCAGTTTAACCTAACCTTATCTAGTTCAGCAGGAGTGTCGATTTATGCTCCGATAAAGGTTGTCGTGATTTGAATGATATCGAGTCTGAATTATCAGCAACATCTTACCTAACTTTTCTTACCATTGATAACATTTTTATGAAGTTTGCTTCAAAGCTTTTGAAAGCTCTTTATTTTAAATGTAAAAAAAAAAAGTATTTCTACACAAAATTTCATAATTATTTCTTTTCTAATGTCTGCGGCGGTGGATATGTGACCAACGGTTGACGGTCCTTCGGTCCTTGAAAAACCATTACGGTTACTGTTTTGTCTTTTGTCGTGCCACCACCTACTAATTGCGCTTCCGCACCGACGCAGTTCGTTTGTGTTCTGCTGCGACATGGCAAGGGCAAAATAACCCCATCTTTTCGACTGCTACTGCATATATGTGTTGAGCTCCGTTGGCAGCTTGTTCCACACATCTGTGTTGTGCTCCGCGTTGAGCTTGTTGCACGCATCTGTGGTGGGTTGTGTTGACAGCTTGTTGCACACATCCGTGGTTGATTTCGTTGACTCGTTCCTGCACACATCTGTGGGGCACTCTGTTGACAGTTTGTTGGGTATATAATTGGTGGATTCTGTTGACAGCCGAAGGCACCCATCACCGGCGGTATAAAGTTTACGGTATTAATGAGGGGTGTACCAGCATGCGCTCCACCACAGTACACGCCCGTTTGGGGGACAGCACAATCTCTGCCATGTAAAGTAGATTGTGCAGCAGTTCCTGTAGTTTGCTCACATGGAGAGCCGCCTACTGCTACTGGCGCACGCAAACCTCCATCTGGTTTTGGTGGTTGAGGACAGGCAAATATCGGTGGCCCGCGTTTGTAGAGTTTGTACAGCAATAGGCTAAGTAGCATAGTAAAAAATAATGTCAAGACCAACAAGGTACTGCCGATAGCGTAGAGCATCTGAAAAAAAAAAAAATGTAAAAACCAATTTCAGCTAGTTCATAACTGTACTGGCGAGCATCTTTTACCAATAAATCTTCCAGACAACCGCATTTTGAAGACCCATTCAATGTACTACGTTGACCACGATAGCAGGCCACTGACCGATTCTGTAGAACTTTCAACTTCTTAACCAGCTTTTCGCTCAATGTAGCCAAGAAATTTTCCTTCGACAGCGCATAAGATTTTTCGAAGACCATCAATTCACTTTGAGCACTATCTAAAAGTTTTGTAAAATTGTCGTAACCCTTAGGCTGCGTACGTTTCTTTAACTTGGTTAGCACTTCGTACAGTTCTGCAGCGTTGGGTGCAAATATTTTATCATACAAATCTGTCCTGACGGACTTTAGTATGGAATTTATTTTGCATGAAAATATGTTCGCGCCAGTTGTATTCTCTTTGTTGTTATCTTTTATGTAACCTGCGTAGCTCGTATAGTTTTCCTCGGTTATGACATCTTGTACGTCACTTTCGTACCACTTCTCTTGCGGGAATTCCATCACAACTTGGTGGTTATTTGTGGAATAATTATTGTGATTTATCGTGATCTTTGGTAGCATGCGCTTGATTTTCGCCATTTCATAGTCGTAAGCTTCGTCGGCATTGATATTGTTAACTGGATCACAGCGCCAAGACTGAGGAATCCGATAAGAGCTTCCCCTGTGAGTTGACGAAAAGAAAGGAAGGTAAAGCATAAATTTATATCAAAATAATGTTTTAAAGTAATATCAACCCTACCGAAGATCATTCTCGTGACAAATTCCCGTATGCAACACCATGGCGGGCAGGAAATGTAAGACTGTTAGAAAGGCTAGCACAGGTATGGCCAATATGTTGAGGAAAAGAAAGCTGAGGGATAATAATGTAATGGTTTAGTAATCATTATAGACAGTATCGATTCTGACACACATTTTGAGCATACAATTCGCACGCGCATAGTAACGGCAAATTCCGAATCCGAGTCCCATTAGGAAAATGTAAGCAAGCTGTGGTGAGTAAACACTTTGAACTAAATTTTGAATACGTGACTACCCTATACTCACGGCAGCTGTCAAAAAAAACATAGTCATCGCTAGGTACAGAATGGGATTAAGGATTTGTGGGTGTTCTGTAGATGATCTGTCGTTCATGTATGGCTTTGGAAGCTGACGTAAAGTTGGTGCTAACAAAGTGACATCAAATATATATGAGAATGTAAAATAAATTGACTTACTTCTTTACTTACTCACAAATAAATCGTTTTCACTCATATCAGCGGTCGGTGTACTCTCCGCTATAGATTTTTGCAGCAGTGAGATATTCTCATATGCCTTCAATAGATACTCCAAGTATTCATATGAGTGTGAGTATTGCGTATAGACTGAATTTAACTATTTTTCATAAAAAATGTGGCGTAAGCTTAGCTAAAACTCTCATGATTTTTCACTCAAAATCTATTCACTTACATGCCACACATTTATGTGCTCCCTTCTCAACATTTTGCTTTCTATTAAGGTCGTATTTTTGACGTTTGCTTGTAGAAATGCGAAGGCTTCTCGCCCAACTGTGCGAAGCACTGTAAATTTCAGCAGGACAAAATAAAAAGCAGACTTGAAGTATATCATAAGCTGTGTGAGAACTACAGGCATTTATTGTTTTGTGAGTGGAAAAGTGATAGCACCTAAATGTATGCTAGCATAAATTATACAAGCAGGAGCTCATTTCGCTGCTTACGTGGGCGAATAAGTACTGACTTATATCATTTACTTACGATCATTCATTTCTATGCCGAGTATAACCAACTCATAGGCATAATCTCTCAATGATTGCAGAGCAGTTGAATAAAAGTCTCCGTTACTGTTTAAATATTTGAGTTTTTCAAAACTTTTCTGCTCAGTCTGGGCTATTGTTTGCAGCCAATCAGCGAGTTCTGGAGGGGAAATCAAAATTTTAGTACAAAGTTAAAATGAAGTATACTTATGAGGTTGTTTTGGAGACGATGTAACTCATAACTACAAAGTGTTCTTTGAAAATTGATTTTCTACAACGCTCCCTCAAGGCGTTTCGGCATTGAAGATTGGTTAATCTCTGAGCTCTTTGTCCATTTTATCAAGTCTTGCTAAAAACTTACCCTCAGTTATCACTTTGTTGATTTTTATAGAGAGCTGTGTGGGATTAGCTTTATATTCCGCCTGATTCATAAAATTTGCATCCTCATCAACTAATGCTGATCTGGCTGTATCCCCAAAACTTTTAGAATCATCTTTGCTTCTTCGTAGTAAAAAATTCGTACGAAAAGTCAAATAAAGGCCAATTCTGTAAGATAAATATTTCATTAAAGTGTGATATCAAAATTAATATGAAATACATACGCAAGTGGCAGCAATAAAAGCAACAACAGGAACGTGGTGAAGTAAAGGCAGCAACGATGTCGTTTCTTTGCAGATTTTTGCAGACCCCTGACAGTACAGCATAGCCAAATAAGCCTAAAAAATAATTGATGAATAATAGTTAATGCGACAGTCATATTATTATTACAGTAAAAAAAAGAAAATTTATATATTAGGACATTTTTGGAATTCTATAAAAGTATTGTTATTGCTTAGTACAACGTCTATTTCCAAGCAGAACCATTCTATAATGTGTTAATATGCGTTAGAAACTTTCAGGATAATTCGGAGTCAGTTATTTGCCTATATATTGAATTTTTATACCATCTTTTTCATAAATAAGTACTTTTGTATGAAAAAATATATTCTCGAATAAATAATAATATTCTAAAATGTACTAAACTTGTATTTTCGGAATACTATAAATTGATGATTATTATTTAATACTGCTACTAGGTGTTATTATTTTTGTGCAGAACTATTGTATACATTAGAAATAAGCATTTGAAAATTTCGGAGTAATTCGGAGTAGCCTCTATATTACAGTTTTACGTAAACTTTTCACAATCCAACACTTTTCAACGAAAATCGCAATTTTCTAACCAAAAAAGCGTCGTTAATACCGCAATGACCAGTAATACAATCAGCAGTGGAAATTTCGCTAGCAACTCAAACCAATCATATTTGGCGACACGCGGTCCGAAGTCACCATTCTCAACATATCCCTTTGGTAGCTCTGCAAGCGCAAATGCATTGAAGACCCAACCGGAGAGCCGCATATAAAACTTCGCTACACCACAATCGTCGTCGTAATGATATTCGGAGTATAAAGTCATAATTTTTACTATTCCGAGACACACTTCAAAAGTTTTTTTTTTTCAGAAACGAAGACAAATTTTGAAAAAAATTTGAAAAAGTTTGTAAACAAATTTTAAACGCAAAAGTTTTGTTACGAATTAAAATTTGATTTATAATGTAAAAAGGGACGTAGTTGCCACGTTGACAAAACCAATTTAAATTGAGTTGTGTAAAGAATATTTCAGTAGTCGGAACATTTGTAAATAAAATAAAATGATAACAACGAGGTCAAAAATAGAGCTTTGATAAAGCTTACCTCACATTTTTCTGCGATTTATCGCTTTGTACTCACTACAAGCTCTAGCTCTCCATGAGTTTCCACTCATTGCTGCGTTTTTAAATATTTTCAAGCCTAGTGATCTGAGCCGCTGATCGTGGCCTTGTTTAAAATTTACTACGCGGTATGGCTGGTATGAAGGTCTCGCGGAGTATCATGGGTTTTTGCTGATTTGTTTGCAAGAAAAGGTTCTCCAATTTCAGACTGGAAACTAATCAGATGTTCTCTGTCCTGCAGCGGTTTACAGCTGAATGGCTGGGACTCTTGTCAGCTTGGGTGGCGCCGATCAGTCGCCAATAAATTTTTGGTCTCAAGATCTGCGGTAGCTCAGAAGAGGTCTATTGGTGTTTGGCTTCCAAAGGGCTCGCCTATTCTTAGTTTTAGTGGCTCAAATCGACTATGGTATAACGCTCATCGAAAAAAAGAAGTAAATTTTAGCCACGTTCTACATGCGGCTTTTTCAATACCAAGGTTCAAGTAACACATCTTGTCAATTGGAATAGGGAAAAAGCTAGCTAACCAAGAGCTTCCTTGAAGTTTTTGCTTCTGAGCTTAGACTAGAGAATTTACCATTAATGTCATTTGGAGAGCAAGAAACACATGGAATCAGCCTGGTAGCTATGTTTTGATATTAAGAAGATGGAGATCAGCCTGGTAACTATGTTTTGAACTCCAAGTTGCTTCAGATTTCAGGATTGGCAAAAACCTGACTCTGAAGATCTCAATCAACCTTTTCTGTGATTCTTAAATTACTTAAGATTTGACATGTTTCTTAACCAATTTCTAATAAAAAGTTATAAAAAGTAAAAAAACCAACTGCGTCAAATCACTAGAAGATTGACTACACCTACTAACACATACACACAAACAGGGCACCATGTATCACACAATCGCTCTAGTTTCCATAATTATGGCTTGATGTCTATATGAATATGCTTCGTTGTGCCCGAAGTCCAACTTATGCGAGCGCTTACTTTCCAAAGACACACCGCAAGAGCTTAAAATATCGAAACTGCACTATAATTATCCGACTTGCTACTTATAATTTCCGGCCAAGCGATGGATTTTATGCGAAAATTGAAAATTATACAGTAGAAAGACATGCTACTTTTTGTTAGTGTTATTGGCTTTCTTGCATTTTTATTGTTGCTGCCTGCAAATCGATTACCGCTTTGTACCACAGCTGTTGCAGTCGGCATGAGCCAACACAGCGCCGGTTAAGCGAGCGCGCCCACTTCGCACGCCCCGACGCGGCGCAGTGTGGCAGCAACAATGACATTCGCCGGTTCATTGCTTCTGCGTTGAGGTTAACGAACAATTGACTGGTCAATGGGGCGGCAGACTGGCTGCTTCTGGTGGCTGTGTCAATTTTCAAACGGACGCATTGCTTTTTTTCTAGCGGCCGTGTTGTACAAGCGTGTTTGTGGAATGGAGGAAAAAAATCGCAGAATTCGCACGTTGCAAGCAATTGCCATAAAGTATTGGGTGGATGTGGTCAACTGGAAGTGCGATAGATTGCAGACGACTCCGAAAATCCATTACATTGCAATGGCTAACACACCCACAGCGGCACACACACACACATGCCATATGCCACACGCCACATTCGCTTCCATGTTTGCATATTCGCATTGGACCGCATGTTGCTGCTGCCGTGGCAGGTTTGAATTTCAGCTGGTGCAGCATTGTTTATGCGGGGAATTGACAGACCATTGGGCCTCACCGGTGCTCGTCATCAGCAGCACCGCCCGATCTTCATCCTCTCGATCTGGTTTGTTTATGCGCATGCGCGCTTAACTCATCAAACAATCGTCAGCACAGACAGGCCATTGTGTTGGCTATGCCCCTCTATTTTCGTTGTTGTTGTTTTGTCGTTGTCAGTTTTTGCTTCTGTTAGACTTGTGCGGATATGTTATTGTTTTTGTCTCTTCTTAGTGGTATTGCTGTTGCTGTGGTTGTTGTTGTTGCTCTCGCTATCGCTGTTGCTGTTGCTATTATTGTTACTGTTGTTTGCAGTTGTGTTGAGTTGATTAGACTTGTTCACTGACTTTCCCAAACCACCTTTCGACGAAATGTCAATAAATATAGATACGCTGTGGGTCTAGCGGTCAGTCGCGCTGATTGCTGTTTGTGAATGATTTGCGGTGACCACCATTGTGATGTTGCCAGATCATGTAAACAATTTTTTTTTTGCATTAACGTAATGAAGTTCCTATGGAGTGAACATAGGTAACTTAGACGAAGTTTACTTTGAGCCTGTTCTGTTCACTTCGGGTCCACGAAAAGTGGTTAATTCAGTTAAAACCTTTATTGTTCCAAGACAAACGGAAAAATTTCCAACTCAATTTTGAGAAATGCAGCCCTTTAGACAGTCCTTGGCTGGATAAAACTTTGGAATCGTTAGCTTTACGCAGTCATGAGCCATATAAACCCGTCGACATGTCTGATAATAGAGGTCGAATAGTGGGGAATACTACTTTTACGTCGGCTTACACTTTTTTTTTGTGAATTTTGGCAAAGATTTAATCAGTTTAGCAAGCTTGTGACGATAATAAATATTATTGAGCTCCGAAATCTAAGGTTTTCTTCCGACTACGACTCCACTTTTTTGGCTTCTTCCTTTTTATCTGCACTAGCCTCAGCACCGGTAGCTAATGGAAAGGCAGCAGCAACAAGAAACTTGCTGGAATCCTTGATGAAGTCCTAGATAAAATAAGCTTTCTGTCAAAATCCAACTTAAGGAGAGGAAATTAGGAACTCCTGGTGCGGTGTAGTGCGAATTTTTCATGATCTGAACATATGCTGCTTTTACTATCTTCGTACCTCTTACAAGAATAATTCCACTTAAATGGAAGTGCTGAATCTATATCCTTTGAAAATCACTTTCACATCCTGAACAATTCCATATTGATGTGTTGATGTGATCCCTATCCACGTAGGTGGAATTAAGAGTCTTCAGCATCCTTCTACAAATTGCTGGGCAATCCTGTATCAGGTGTTCTGGAGTTTTCTGTTTCATCCTCCATTCGAGTCACTCCTTTATAGGAGGGACCCCACTGAAATGCTTGGTTCTGGACCCATCATAGCACAGGTAACCTCAAAAGGCTTTGGCTAGTGAAGTAAAGTGACTTTGAACCGTTGTAAAATGTTTTTCCAGATCTGGAGCCTTAAGGAAGCTGATGTTTTCGGGGTCGGTTTGATACAAATAACTCTAAAGAAATTGGCTAGCGCAATACCGTGCCGTTGCGAAAAGTATTTTCTTGTTAAGAGATGTGRTTTTGTAAGCCTCGTCTATGCATCATGGCTACTCGGACTATTTTTAGGAACTTCGATAGACCCAGTTCCAGGTTTGGTTGAAGGCAGTACTCGTACATAAGCGGGTGCTCTTGGAGCTTTTTTTAGGAACTTCGACAGTACCAGTTCCAGTTTTTAGCTAAAATAATACTCGTATCTGAACGGATCCTTCACTAAGTGTGCTACAAAATGAGCACGGATGCCTTTTTTTGTACTCATATGCAAAAAGGCTGGCAACTCTAAACTGTCCATCTTTTTCGCCTACACACTGTCAGTTAACAAACAGCGCAAATGTTGTTAACAACTAGTTGACTGACCGTCATCCATACTAAAACACGCACATACATACACACATAAATTTATATAGACAATGCCATGCCTAGCGCTCGTAATCACTGTCGTTATAGCCGGTTGTTGCTGTTGTCGCATTGTTAAGTGGATTTTCGTCGCCCATGAGTGGTGGCGTAGTTTTCATATTTATTTTTGATGTGATTTAGATTCGTTTAGACAGGTGAAAGGCTAAATTGTCAATTTGCAAAAGGCAGTCAGCGGGACGACCAAACCAGTCAGCGAGCGCGCACAGCCAACAGTAAATAGAGAATAGAGTGAAGAAAAAAAAAACAACAACTACAACAATAACTGTAATTGCAGTGCAGCGAAAAGTTTGCCGTCGCTCTTATAGACCCATACACACACAACACTCACAACAACTTTTTACATTCGTGTCGCTGCAGCAGTTGTTATTACATGCCACCGCCAAGTCATCGTTGTTGCTATCGCGCTACGCAAGCGCTGTGGCTTTGCCATCACCAAGCAGCGGGTGAGTGAGTGAGTGACTTGTTCCACCTTCAACGCGTTATGAGGCGAGAAGAAAATGCCAGCAAACAACCGTCAGCAACAGTTAGTTACCCACTTCCTCTGCTGCAGGCCATATAGCCTGTCTGTCTGCTGCTCTAGCAGCCAAATAGACACACAAACATACAGTGTTGCGCTTGCCATCCGCACTGCCTGTTGCCCACCCAGCCCAACTGGTTGACGCTTGGCTGTCAGTGTCAGGCGGCATTGTGTTGTCGTCGTTAAGTGGCAGTGTTGCCAATAAAAAGCAAAGCAACTAAAAAATCACCAGGCAGTCACCACCGAAATATGCCGTCGCATAAAAAATAGTTTATTCCCGTTAATAATTCAGCAATTTCTTGTTGCACAGTACTCCTACAGCGCATTGCCGTTGTTATTGGTTATTGTTTTTGTTCTTTTTGTCTTTTGCCGTTCGTTCGATGCATCACAAATTGGAAATTTATGAAAATGAGTTAGTTGCTCATTTTCCGCTTATTGTTTGCTGTCTGCCAGGCTCGAGTTGCAGTTCGTGTTGTTGTTGTTGTACTGCAAATTTTTTGCTAATTTTCATTTTTATTGAAAGAGAAATTGATTTTTGACTTTTCGTTTACCAAAGTGGAGCAATTTGAATGTCCTTGTTTTTGTTGTAT